CCTACGGGCATGGCTGCAACGAGGCCCGACTGACAGTCTCCCGCCCGCCGCGCCGCCCCCGCCAGCCGACCGCCCACGAGCTCCGGGATCGGTGGACCATGCACTCGCGACATCTCACCTGCGACCAATGGCGTGCCCTCATTTCCGAGGAGGTGTCCGGCCCCTGCTCCTCGGTGGAGTCGTCGGCCCGGCGGGCCCGGCGTGGGCTTTCGATCTCCCGGCCCGAGCTCCTGCCGGAGGCCCTGCTGGCCCGGGACAGCGGGTGGCAGCCGGCCGCGGCGGCCCCACCGCCGGGACAGCCGGCGGCCCCCCCGGGCCCCGAGCAGCACCCCCGGCCCCTGCTGGCCGATGGTGGGGGGGGAGATCCCCACAAGCGCCTCGACAGCGACCCCCTGCAGATGGGCCGCTGGTCGGAGGTGGTGTCCGACGACGGGACCCTGGCCGATGTGTCGAGCGCCGGGCAGGGCGGCACCAGCAGCGAGGAGTCCATGCCCCTGGGCCGGCGATCGGCCTCCGGCGCCACGCCGCTGCCCGCCGCGCTCCTCCCCTCCCGGGGCGAGGGCAAGTGGAAGAGAAGGGCCAGATGAAGGCCCTGCGGGCCGGCGGGGGGAAGGGCCAGGCCGCCGCATTGGGTTAATAGACCACCCTTAACTCGCATGTGTTCTGGTGCTTCGGGCGGTCGGACGAGCGGCCGCTCCCCTGCGGCTGGGTTCTGCCACGGGAGATGCCGGGCGTCGGCAGCATGCCCGCCGTGCTGGTGGGGACTTTTCCTGAACGGACGGACACACACGCACAGCGCGACGGGGCAGTAGGCGTGTGCTGCGTGCGTGTGTGTGGCGCCCCCTCCACCCACCCAGCTCCCTCTCGGCCCCGGCACGTCCTCCCTTTTGCTCGAGGCTGCGCACACACACACACACACACACATGTCCCCCCCCTCGTCTCGGTCCCTTGGGGTCCCCCCTCTTCCCCGGCGAAAAAGGCGAAAGCAAGAGAAAGGAGGGGGAGAAATAATGGTCGTATAGTGCAACACCGAAGTGTGTGACAGGAGGAGGAGAGGGAGACGCACAAGTGTGTAACCACCCCCCGCGGAAGGGGGGGGAGGTGAGAGGGGGGAGGATACACACATATACACGCGCGCGTCCCCTCCCCCCGCACCACTAGCGGGGAGAGAAGGGGTCGCACAACACTCCGCCACCAGCCAGGGGAAGCGGAGAGGGCGCGCGCGCGCGCGCACGCCCGCCCCTACAACACCGCCACCCCCTCCCCCCGCCCGCGCCCACCCACGTGCCAACGCCGCGCGCGCCTTTGGGGAAAGGGAGAGGGACGAAGCGCACGGGGAGAAGGGAGGAGCGCGGGGGCCGCCCCCCCCGCAGGAGGCGCGGCCGCCAGAGGGAGGGGGGTCACACAGCAATCAGCTCAAGGATGTGTGACAGAGGCGCTTTTACTCGGTGCGGGGGGCGGAGTTGGCCTTGCGGAGAGCCTGGATGGCGGCGGTGTTCATGCGGGGCTTGACACCGGGGATGGTGACAGCGTGGACGCAGCGGCGGTTGTAGAGGACGCGGAGGCGGGCGCGGCCTGGAGAGAGAGAGAGAGAGAGAGGAGGGGAGGGGGAAAGCACGCGGCGCGGGGAGGTGTCAGAGGAGGTGGGAAGACCCCAACAGGGGCGGCCGCCGACACGCGGCAAAACACGGGGAGAGAAGGAGAGACAGGAGGGCAGAGCACGCGCGCGCGCGACTCGCTCTCCTCCCCCTCGGCGCGCGGCGCCGGATCAAGGAGGGCGTGTGCATGGCGAGGGGGAAACGATGCGAGGAGGAGCGCACGCGCGCGCATGGACACGGCCGTGCCAGCGTCTCCCCGCGATCGAGGGAGACACGGCACACGGCCAGAACACACACGACGCCTGTCCCTCGCGTCCGTCACCCCCCCCTTTCTCCATGTGTTGATCCGGTCGGCCCCCCTCTGGGCGCGCCCCGAGAGGACAAGAGGAGAGAAGTGCACCGGAAAAAGAGAGCTGCCCCCCTCGGCCCGGCGCGCGGGGGAGCAGTATGCGAAAGAGCGACACAGGAAAAGGAACCCGGGGGGAAGGGGGAGAGAAAAACGCACCAGTGAGGGGCTTGGGCTTGTCCTCGGGGTCGACCTTGGGGGTCTGACCCTTGACCTTACCGGCACGAGCGAGCGAACCGTGAACCTTACCCTGTTGTTGTCGTCGGGGGAGGGAGGGAGGGAGAGAGGGAGGGCGCATGCGAGCAAGTGAAAAAAAAACGGTCAGAGGGCATTCGCGCGTGCACGAGGGGCGATGGGTGGCCCCAAGGAAAAGGGAGGTGATGTGCGCGTGTGTGTGCGTGTGTGTGTGTGCTTCGGATGCAGGGGACATCCGAACAAGTCGGGGCCGTCCCCCTGCTCCTCCTGGCAGCGCGATGCCTGCTCCGCCCCCGCCTCGAGCCTCCTCATCATCGGAAGGGCCCCCCACACTCGGGGTCCTTCGGTCGGCCTCTCTCCGCCGGGCCGGCCGCACACCGCGCGCCGAGACACGCATGTGCCTCCGTTGGTCGCCTGGGGGAAGCGGCGACAGCCGCCTCGCAGCAGCGCCCCATGCAAAAGGCAATAGTTACCCCATGCACGGGTGACAGAGCAGGAGACGGGAGGCGCCCCGGGCGTGATAACGGCCGCCGGCCAACCGGCCGACCAGGCGAGGGGGGGAGGCGCCGCCCGGCGCGAAGCAAGCCGGCCGCCAGGCGGGGCAGCGGGAAGGCACACCGATGGACGAGGGGAGGGAGAGGAGGAGGAGGAGAAGGAGGAGAGGGGAACACGCGCGCGCCGGCGGGGAGGAGCGGGGCTGGTGTGCATGCATGCGAGAAGCAGAGAGGGGGGGGGGGCATCATAGGGAGGAGGGGGGAGGAGGCGAAAGGCATACCATGATGAAAAAAGAACCACCGAAGAGAAATCAGATGGACAATGCACCAACAAAATGAACTTGATGCAGAGAGGGATCCCCCTCTGCCGGGGAGGGGTTGAAAAAGCCCCAGAAAAATCCCCAGACAGAGCGCCGGCGACCAGGGCAGCCGGCCCAAGGGGGGGGAGGAGCACACCCAAGCCGAGTCCCCGGAGGGGCAAGCCGCGCACGGGGCCGCAACTGGCCCCCCTTCTTCCCCAGCCCCGCCGCGGGGCCGGTCAGGGAGGGGGGGGGGGGGCCGCCGCCGCCGCTGACCCGCGTCCGCCCGACACACCGGAGAGACACCCGGAAACATGGGAGAGGTGTTGTCGTCGGGTGCGGGGGCAGCCAAAAGAACCGCCACACGATGCCGGCAGCCTCCCTCCCGCAGAGCGCACGGCAACCAGCCCCCGCCCGTCGAAGGGCACCCCGCACGCGCGCGCGGCGACGGTCTGGCACTGTGCGTGCGCGCCCCTCGGCACGCGCCCCCGCCCCGTCATCCCCTCGAAGGACCAAGCGTGGCCAACGGCGCCACACTCATGAGACCCGCCGGCCGGCCCCCGGACGGAAACGACACACACACACACACACACACACACGCACGGGCACTGCCTGCAGCCTCATGGGGCGGAGGGCGTCGTGTGTTTCACCCATGCACGCACACACCCACACACGCGCGCTTGACGGTGACGCAAGGGGGGCAGGCAGCAGTCCACCCTTTTCCCGGGGGGCCCCCGCCCTGGGAGCGAAGGCCGGCCCAAGAGCAAGGGGGGGCGGGGGACAGAGCACAGGGACGCCCGACGAACCGCTGGCCAGCATACAACTTCCTTTTTCGGTCCCGAAGTGAGTATTTTTTATTCCCCCTCCATACATCTTGGGCGCTGCCCCGCATATGACACCTTGTTCTTCCCTCCTCCAACACGAGACATGCACACACCGTGCGTCCCAAGCGGGGAGATCGAGGCTCGGCTCCCGTTCGCGCCGCGCCCTGCACGGGGCCCGGGCCGGGGGTTGCCGCCGCCACAGCACAAGGCCCTCTTCCCGCGTCAGGGCAGGGTCGCGCCCATTTTTGAGTACCTCCGCGTGTCGCACACATGATCAAGGCGTAGATTGTCGCATGGATCTTCAGCACGGATGGTCTGTAAGCCTCTTGCCGGCGAGGGCGTAGAGGCGGCGGAGGAGGCGGACCGTGGTGAGGAGAAGAGGGGAGGGGGGGGGGGTCATCACTCGTGCGTGTATTATTTTAGAGGGCACCTGAGGGCGTATATTGCGTGCCCCTGCCGGCCCCCGCCCCCCCCCCGATCGCCCCCGCGGCCCCCGAGAGGGGGAGGCACAGGCGTCAGACTCCCGGAGGAGGGGGGAGCCGGAGGGCGCGCAATGCCCGCGCCGCGGCCCAAGGACAAACATCGTGGTCGGATGCTCCTCCTCCTCCTCCCGGCTCTCCCCCTTTCCGGTGAGAGACGGGAGGGGAAGGAGGAGGGCGCGCGAAAGCCAGGTCAGTTGTCCAAGTCGTCGTCCACTTGGAGGAGGCCGGCATCAAGGCGCTCGGTGGGGCGGCGCCCGGCACTCGGCAGGGCCCGGTGATGGGGCCCCGCCGGCGAGGCCTTGGCCGCCAGCAGGTGCACCCGACGCACGGCCTCGTACGGCCGGCCGCGGTAGTCCAGCAGGAACCCCTGCACCGTGGCCATGGACAGGCGCCGGCTGGGGAGAGCCCGGGCAAAGCGCCCGGCCAGGGTGGTCAGCTCCTCCTGCGAGAGGAGACCCTGCTGGGTGGGGCGCGTGCGGTCCGGCCGGGAAGTCCGGCCGCCGGCCGCGGCGGCCGACCGCCGGACAGGTCGGGCCTCGTCGCCCCCCGGCACCTGGTCCTCTTCCTCCTCGGCCTCGGCCTCGGAGTCGGAATCTTCACTGTCCGAGGCATACACCTCCAGGATGCCGGGCAGCTCGCCGATGGCCGACATGTCGGAGTCCGAGTCGGATTCCGCGCCGCTGGCCGGGGGGGCGGCCATCCGGGTGCCGGCATCCACCGGGACCGGCAGCTCGGCCCGACGCCCGGCATAGAACCACCGGAACATCTTGCGGATTTGCGACCGCCGGGCATGCTCAAAGACAATGACATTGTCCACGCGCCCCGGGCGCACGAGGGCCGGGTCCAGGCGCTCGAAGTGGTTGGTGGTCATGAAGACGATGCGGCCCTCCGGCGCGGCCAGGCCATCCAGGGCATTGAGCAGATCCGACAGGACCAGCCGCGAGCCGGACCCTGGGTCTGGCCGGCGGCGGCGAACCGCCGGCATGGGGGTCGTCTCTTGGGCATCGGCCCCGGGGCCGGGCATGCCGCCGGGAGTGGCCGCCCCGCCCGTGGCCGGGTCATCCTCCACCGTGGCATCGCGCATGGCCGCGTCAATGTCCTCGATCACCAGGATCGAGTGCTCCGGAGCCGAGGACAGCAGCCGTGTCAGGTCGCCCCCGGCGTCGGAGCCATCCTGGCCAAAGCCACAGGCATTCAAGTTCAAGATGCAGATGGGCAGCCGCATGACCGAGGCAAAGGCCATGATGGTGCTGGTCTTGCCGGTGCCCGGGGGCCCATGCAGCAGGTACCCCGCCGGTGGGGCACACCGCAAGCGGCATACCACTCGCCATCGGCCAGGAAGCGCTGGGCATTCTCCACCAGCCCGGCGAAGATGCGCCGCGGCAGGTGCAAAGACTCCGGCGACCGGGGGCGCCGGCGGCCGAGGCAGTCCCACACGGTGTTGACCGCGCGGCGCTGGTGCGCGCTGCCGGCCGGCGACGGCCCGGTCACCTGGCCCCCCAACGACCGGGCCACATAGATCTCCACCAAGGGCAGGGTATCCCGGAAGAGGCCGGCATGCAGGCGCCATGCCTCGGCCAGCAATGACCGGGCAGCATGGGCCGCGCGCCCGTCAAAGCGCAAGGCCCGGAGCTCGATGGCCGCCGTGCCCTCGAGCGAGGCCGACCCGCCGCCCGGGCCGCCGATGCCGCCCGGGCCACCGGCCGACCCGCCATCCGGCCCCAGGGCGAAGTTGTCCCGGGCCGGTGTCGGCCCGATGTCCGCCACCCCGAGGGGCGGCTGCCCGCCGGGCATGCTGAATCCCAGCCCGGGCCGGGCCCGATGGGAGCCGCCGCCACCGCCATCCCCGGGGCCGGTGGCCACTTGCGGCGACTGGCTGTCGATCAGGGCCGCCGTCGGGGCGCACTGGATCCCCGGCGGGACGCTCACCCAGAAGAGGGTCCCCTCGTGCCACACGCGGAAGGTCTCGCGCGTGTGCGCCACACTGACCAATGTCACGCTGGTCACATCGCCGGCCAGGGTCCGGGCTTGGGGGCGGCCGCCGCGCGATGAGGCCGACCCCGGCGGCCCGACCGGGCCGGCGCCCCCGGGTCCGCCGCCCATGACGGCCGGCTCGTAGTGGAAGCGCCGGGCCTGGGTGTGGCCATGGTGCGAGAGCCAGGTCACCAGGGGCCCGTAGTAGAGGGTCCCGCGATTGACGCGCACCGTGGCCGCGGTGCCGCGGGCCATCAGTGCCAGCGAGGTGCGCTTGGCCCATTGCATGATGGACCCGAGGGCGGTGGTGGCCGCGGCGGTGGTAATCCCGGCCAGGGTCAGGGCCAGTGACGAGGCGAACACATAGGAGGAGAGGGCCTGCGACAGGGAGTCCACGAAGGTCCGGGAGAAGTTCCCCACAAAGCGCGCCATGGCCAGCAGGGGAAGCAGCGCCAGGCGCCCGGCAGCCAGCAGGGGCCCGGTTGTGTCGGCCCCGGGCCCGGTGGCATCGGCTCGGGGGCCGCGCGCTTGGCAGCCCTCCGGCTGGCCACCGGCCGCCGGGGGGGGAATGCCATCCGGCTGATCGGCCCCGCTGGCGGCCATGAGGAAGGCCTGCTGCTGGTGCGTGGCAATCTGAGCGACCAGATCATCGGGGCTGCTGCCCTTGGCATGGCCACTCAGGACGCCCATGGCCGCGGCGGGGTGGTGCTGGCCGGCGGTCATGCCGGCCAGCAGGGCCACCAGCCCGAGCAGGAGCAAGCCCGCACGTAGGGTCCTTCGCATAGAAGTGCTGTGATGCATGGTGTGAGTTTGTCTTTCTGTGTGCCCATCTTTCCGTGTGTGTGTGTGTGTGTGTGTGTGTATGTGGCCAGTAGCACGCACGGGCTTGTGTCCACGGCAGCAGGTGTGCGATCCCACTGGGCCTTGTGTGTATGGGGGGGTCTGTGTGCTCGTGCTCGCGAGTGTGCGCGCTGCTCGTGGGTACGTGTGTGTATGTGTGCGCGCGTGCGCGCGAGAGAGAGAGAGAGGGACAGGGAGATGGAGGGGGGCAGAGAGGGGAGGGGGAGCAGGGGAGGGATCTGACAGGGACGATCTGTACTGGGCGGGGGGGTCGATCGCCGAAAAGCCGCCGGGCACGCGTCGACCCAAGGCCAGCCCAATCTCCCGGCTGGCCGCTGCAAAGGCGGGGACAGTCTGCCGTGGTCCGGGCGCGCGCGCGCGCGCGCCCATCGTGTGCCGCCACGCCCTCCATCCGGGCACCGCACGCGGAGGCGCGCGGCCGACGGCCCCCTCCGCGGCCCCACAGGAGGAGGGGGACCGGGCGGGCGGCGGCTGCAGTCAATAATGACTAGTGCGGGCCTCAGGCCGCCCCGTGCACAGGGACACCGGCGCCTGGCCCGCCGTTGCCACGGCCGTCGCCGTTCCTTCTCCCTCGTTCCCCCCCCCCCGGGGGGGGGGGCGGGGGTTGCCGGGCCCGGTCCGGGGAAGGAAGAGACGGTCATGGCGGATGGTGTCGATTCGTTGGCATATATGGAACAGGGACGTTGCTCGCACTGATTGGTTGGCCTTCCTGGACGCTCCAGACCGCCGGGGGGGCCTCGGCGACCGACACCCCCGCCCCCCCCCCCCCGTGTTGTGTGGCGAGAGAATGCGGGGCCCGGCCAGCGGCACCGGCGTTTCTTCCCCCCCCCTCCCCGAGGGTGCACCCTCCCCTCCCCCTCTTGCCACTGCAACTACCACGGGCATTTCCCCCGGGCTTTATTCCCCCCCCCCTCGCCCCCCGCCCGCGGAGAACCTCCCTCCTGCTGGGCTTCTCCCTGCGCCCCGGCACCCGGGCATGTCTACTAGAGTGGCTGTGTGTGTATGGAAAATATCAAGGACGGTGTGTTCGAGGGGTTGACTCGAACTGGAACAGGGGGAGGGGAGCACGCACACGTGTCATTGGTATGCGGCTGGGAGGAGGAGGGGGGAGGAGGAGGGAGAAAGAGAGAACGGGAAAGAGGGGCGCGCAGGCGTGCGCATGTCCCCCCTCCTTGGCCTCCCAGGCCCCCCCCCCCTCCGGGCCGCGGCGCAGGCGAAGGGGGCGCGTCCCCCCTGCCGGCCACCACCGCATTAGGACTTGGGGGGCGCAGTGGAAACAACGATGTTCTTGTAGACGGCCTGCTTGGTGCGGCGCATCTTGTTGGCAAAGACCGGGGCCTTCATCGAGGTGTTTTCTCCGTTGATGACTGCCGCACGACAGAGACACGCGCACGGGCAAAAGGGTGTGTGCGACGGGAATGGGGGAGGAGGGGGGTCAGTCCCAGTAGGGGGGGGGGGGAGATCGGCCTGCAAAAGAGAGAGGGGCGAGGGGCCGGAGCACGCACGCTTGGACAGGACCACGTTGCGGAGGAGCTCGGGGTTGCTGCGCGAGTAGACGTAGGAGTCGCTCAGAGGGGGACTGAACGGAGCGACGTCCTGCTTGCAGACGCACGAGAGCGAATAGACATCGGTCTCGTCGCACGGGTTCTCCGGGTCCGCGACCTTGGCATCGACCACCAGGATGACATCTGGTACCGATGCGGCCAGGGACGGGGGGGGGGGGGGGGCAGCACGCGTCAGGATACAGGGCGATCGGCGGCATGATAGACGTGCGTATGCACAGCCGGTGGCGGCGGGGAGAAGGGGAAGAGGGAGGGAGAGAGGGGGACAGGGGTCGCCACACGCACGGATGAAGTCCGACTCCACGGTGGACGGGATCCAGGGCTCGGTGCAATTCTCCCGGTACACCAGGATGCAAATGTCGTTGCCGATGTGGCGCTTGCGCTCTAGCTGCTGACGGTCGGTCGTGCGGTAGGGCAACTCGGTGGAGGTGTGGAACATCACCTCCAGGTCCTCGTACACGGTGTAGTAGGAGTGCGTGCCGGTGGTGTTGACTGGTACACGCAGACACACACGCGCGCGCGCGCGTAGGAATGTGGCAAATACGCGTTGTCAGTTGCGGGGCATGGTGTGGCGGGAGGAAAAAAGACGGCAGCACCCCCCCCCCCCCGTCCACCCCTGCCTCGATCAGCGGGCGGATGGATGTGCCAGGCAGGGAGGAGCCGCAGACGCACCACCGCTGACATCCAGGCCGGCGCGGAACTTGGACCACCCGCTGAGCTCAATCCGGTCGGAGATGACCGACATAAAGCGGTTGAAGGCCGGCGATCCGTGCTGGTTGCTGAACATGTCCTCCTCGGCCACCTGGCCGTCCTTGACGTAGAGGGCGCCGAACTTGTAGGTCCGGATGTCCTGCTGGGTCTCCAGCGTGGCCAGCTGCTTGTAAAGGCTGGGCCAGACCGGATGCACAGGGCGGTCAGAGGCGTGTCGTCAACGGGCAGCGGCCGGCGCGGGCCGGACAGGAGGCACAAAAAGATCCCCCCCTCCCCCCCCCCCTCTCCCGCCCAAAGACGTACGCTTCCTTGTCCTTCTCCTTCTCCACCTCGTAGAGCATTTCCATTTCCGAGAACTTGGGGTCCAGTGCGCGGACCAGCTGCTTGGCGCTGATCTTGTTGCTCATGAGCGAAGTCTTCAGGTACGAGGCCGGGAGCATGATCAGGTCATCGCCGGCCGGAGTGCGGAGGAGAATGCGCAGGAAGGACGCCGGCCGAGAGAGATTCAGCCCGGCCAGGGCGTCGCTCGAGGGGGAGCTGGTCACCAGCAGCTGGCCAGTCGAAGCGGA